CTGCGTAGCTGTTTTAGAGACAAAACGTGGAAGCGCGTAAGCGCCGTGTCGCAGTCTTACATATAAACATTGGTACGGAACCATAGAAATGTAAACATTTTATGTGCATATGTCTAATGGCCATTTTAACCTCCAAAGGCATTTTTTACTTTTATTATTGAATTCACAATTTGCAAGATCTGCCTTCTAAACAATTTAATCTGATATTTATTTCGTTAATGCAAATACAATGTTTTTGAATGATTGATATCGGACTATCCTTTCTCTCCAAAGGTAAATTATTATTTATGAAACTATTTGCCAAAAACTAATCTGCACGTCTCCTTATCAATAGGAATAGAATGTTTTTTGAATCATTCAAACAAGTTGATCCATGCGCCCCGAAATCGTCGACAAAATTGTATCCTCTATACATACTCACAATATATACAAAAACACAAAATGTTGAGAAATCTCTGAAACGTAAAATAAAATTTTCATTTTCGATAACTATAACTTAAACGGTAGAGGAAGTTAAAAATATGTATGAAATTTAGTAGTTTTCAAAAATATTTTAGGTGATCATTCTTAACCAAACTATAAAATTTATCTATTGTGTTTATTATACAATTTATATTTGGTATCAAACTTGAAAATTACTGTTTTATAACTTCTACTGTACCCAAGAATCATCATAATATTCTAGAAAGTTTGCTAGATCATAACATAAGAATTTTGATCATAACATAAGATCTATTCTAAGTATATGAATGAGCAAGTTTATTTTCTTATATCAATATTGTCAAGACTTGCATCACTGAATATAGTTCTTAGTTTTATTTTCTATATCGTAAACAATGATTTGAATGAACAAAAAAATGTTTTATTATTATTCATTAATTATGCAACAACAAGGAAAATGGTTCACTTTTGTGAGTGCTATGATTTTTATCAGGTGCAATTTTGTTTCGTAACATAATTTCCATGGCTGGATATATAAACGAAGATCATAAAGTATCCTTAACAGTTCTCTATACATAAGCACGATACTCAGGGATCATGATTTCGCGAAGTAACCAGTGTTTGTTCCACGCGAAACACTCCGTTTCTTTGGACATGTTTATGCATTTTTCAATAGCAAGTTATTTGAGCGCGAACTCGTTTTAACGTCAGTTTTTTACCCTGCCACGGGGTTGTTTTTCCCATGCAACGCACCCCCGAATGTGCATGCACAAATACACAAGTCGTCGCAATAGGCAGAGGGCTACATACGGCACAATAAATTTATTGAATAGTGTCTGCAACAGAAATGCATTGCTACTTGAAAATGCATACTACACACTACATATTCTAACACATATCTGTATTCTCTCGTGCCTCCATTCATATGCAGCAGCGATTGCTAAATAAGTTATAAACGACACGAAAGCCAAAATATTTTTATCTGGATTTATTATTTTTTATTGAAACAATATTGAGAAATAAATCTGTTGAAATATTATATTTCTAACTGAATTGTATGAAACAAATGATAAAAGAAATTCTAATTTCACTTTACTCAATCTATCTGCACTCTACTTAAGGATAAACCAGCTTCGTTTCGAAAAACGACAATTAATTACAAGGTTTTGCTATCATTATTTGTTTGGTATTTTATTTATTAATTGTGTTTAGCTGTTATTTTTTTATCATAATCATTATTATTCGAATAGCAATTAAAACTATTCTCAATTTTCTTTGAGCCGATGAGATGTATTTTCTTCTACTACGACTTTTTAGTAGACAAACCATAGATAAACAAGTACAAGACAAATCATTGGTTGTCCCAATTTTTGCATACTTTTGTGGCGTGATATACACATATTTCAGCTAATGCCTCTAAGACAGAAAAAATGGTCAATTAACTTCCCGTAGGGTAAGTTATAGTAATCGCAAAAAAATCGAAAATGAAAATTGTTATATATCTTTACGTTTCAAAGGTTTTTGAACATTTTGGCATACCTTAGAAAAAATGGATGTATGTGTATGTGGGTGTGGTGTATGTGTCAAAATATTATAGTTTCTCAAAAATCTAATTTTTTCAAAGTAATTTTTTTTCAAAAATGTTAATTTTTTTAAAAGAAAATAAATCTTAGTACGGTAAGTTCCAGCAATTTGCCTTAAGGCACGATGCCATGCACCCTACTATTTTTTTATATATTAGGAAAACCTAGATAATAATAATATTCAAATTCAGGCTCTTATCAAGCTTATCCATTACAAGTATCTAAGGTAATATTTTTTCAAACAAAAAAATCAAATTTTTGTATGTTTTCTCATTTCAAGATTTCCAGATTTCTATTATGGCATACCTTTAAAAAATTGATTTATGTACGTAAGTGTTAGTGTTTTGTATGATTACAATTTTTGTCCACGATTTTGAGAGCAGGAATAACCAATTTGAACTATTCGAAAATCCATCAATTTCTATTCATGGGATGGCTGATTGGTTTTTGATAAAGACAAGTCCAGATATATATAAATCAAATATATAAATGATTCTAACGACATTTTGCTTGTACATATGGAGTGCTACATTGATTTCATTTTTGCAGGCAAGTCCTGGATTTTGAAATTACAGGAAAAATTGTAAAAATTGGCATTTTGTGATTTGCAATGATTATTAAAAATCATTGATATTCATATACATGTAGAAATATAGGTAGACATATGGCAAGTAGACAGGTGAACTAGTAGACAAGTGAACATGTGGACAGGTGAATATGTAGACAGATAGGCAAGTAGACAAGCAGACAAATAGGAAGAACAGGTTGACAGGTAGACATGCAGACAGATAGAAATGTAGGCAAGTGGACATGTAAACTGTGGACATGCATGCAGGTACAGAAGTAGTCAAGTGGACAACATAGAATGGTGAAAACTTAGACAAGTAATCTAAGTAGTTGTCAATCAAAATTTTATGAATTAAATAGATTATTTACACATATCAGGAGGTTCATGCAACTTGCCTTAGAGCAAAATGGCACTTACACCTAGTTTAGTTCTTTGTTATTACGCCTAATCAAAATCCGGTAAAGAAATAAAAATGTCTTCAATTTTATACAATATTAAAACTTGTATATATTTGATTAATACATGTAAAAACAATGATTTTCAACTTTAATATTAAAATTGAGGTAGAGATTGATTTTTTTTTATTATTTTTTATATATTTTTTATTGGGCTCGCTTATATGGATCATTTAGCCATCTACAACATTTCATTTTTGTATTCTATATTTTTTAGAGATTGATTTTATACTCGTATATACACATTTTATTAAAAGTATATGCATTCTATAATAATTAATTTTTATCATTAAGTAGTTTGAAACAAATAAAACAAACTTACAATATACGATCGTATGAAATAAAAATCTGATACTGTTGTTGTCGGAAGTTAGTGAAATATAATATATAGTTTGAAAATTATTTCATTTAAGATACATGATAATACTAAGGTATAATAAACTAAATGAGCTTAAAAAACATCAAGATTTATAAAAAGTTTCATTTGTTGAATCTTGATTCAATAGTAGCCTGAAAGAGGTCAAAATTCCGTTATTTATTTGAATAATGACGGTGCTTACTTTGTAATTTGTAGACCAATTGTAAGCATAATGAATAAAATTTTCTATATCGAAATTAAAATAACAAGGTGCAATTATTAAAAAAAGTTTGACAATCATTGAAAAGCTGATGTGTTAGTGTATTTGACACGTGTGTACATTTGGGTATGTGTCCAAAACTTTATATAAGTGGCAATAATTCATCTGCATAACAGAGCAGTTGCAACTTGATAATTTCCTAAACAATTTTCACATTCGTCATCGACACCTAATTGGTACGAATCTTCGTTTATGAATTATATTTGTGTTTTGTTCAAATACGTTTATGTGAATAAATCATGGAGGTTTCCGAGAAGCAAGGATGAATAGATATTCAATTTATAATTAGTATGCAAATATATTAATAGTATATATATATATATATATATATATATATATATATTTATTTATTTATTTATTTATTTATTTATTTCAGAAGTATTAATATTCAGAAATTTTTGGTAGTCAATAAAATAATTTGACTTATATTTATGAATATAAATCAGATTACAAACAAATCATGTCTTTCAAGTTATATATCTGACTTTGTAGACCATGTACAAGCTAAATAAATCCATGGAAATGATTATATATATATATATATATATATATATATATACATATACATATATTCTTAACTTTCATCGTAGATAAATGTTAGGATATGTAATAAAAGAGGCATGTTACAGCCGCTTTCGCCCGTTATTAGTTTAACGATAAACACATGTACTGATATATATATATATATATATATATATATATATATATATATATATGTATGTATGTATGTATGTATATGTATACTTGCCAAATTCACGTAGAATATATGGTTTATTATTATAGTAAATTAAAATGTATGATTATGTAAAACTATTTATTAAAAAGTAACGCCACAATTAACTTATAATTTTACATTAAATTTAAATCTAACTTGAATATCTATATAGCGTCAATCAATGGTCACATCCAACTAAGTTAAATTTAGTCGTCTATATTAGAGCTTTTAGAATTTAAAGTCTTTCGTAGAGCTATATAGTACATACATATATTAAAAATAAGTTATTGTAATCGTTCAAAAATCGAAATTGAAAACTTTTGCTTATCTTCACGTTTCAAAAGTTTCTGAACATTTTGACTAACTTTATTGTTAGAAAAAATGGATGTGTCTATATGTGTGTGTATGTATGTATGGATACAATTTTTCATCCACGTTTTTGGGCGCACAAATCAACAGATTTGACCACTTTTTTCCCACCATTAACATTTTAATGTTTTTTGGATCACTTGAATCAGAATGTATCGAAATATTTTGTTTTGATGCCAGAAGACGTGTTGCTCTCTTGCTTTTCCTCGGATCGACCTATAGACGAATTTATATACGACGGATACATCCGCAGATTCTGGAAGTCATGAAATAATGTCCGTCCGTCAGATCATAAAGGACATCCGGCGTCTAGAGAGACACCACAAGAAAGCTCATAAGATGCCCTGCTTATGTATTATGTAGGTATATATACATACTTATATAAATAGTTGTTTTAGTATTTTACAAGCATTTCGAGTTTAGTGAAATATATGAAACGTATGTTTGAGAAATTGTCGATTTATCTATATCACACATATGTGCAGAGTTATGAACTTTGATCTATGGAAGATCGATGTTACTTTTTTAAAACAAATTTTCCATTAAAAATGATCAACAAGTATTTATATGCATATATAGAGTGTCCCAAAACTTTTTTAACTTCCCGTAGGGTAATTTTATTTTATTTTCAACAGCAATTAGAATACAGTACAATCGTATGAGCTATTTGGCTTGTATCATTTACTCACACGCCTACACACACACTTTCAAACCCACATATAAATTATTCTGATTAATTTTACTATATTGATACTTATAGTCCAGTGAGAGTTATTCACCAATTCTGTTCATTTCTACTAAGATGTAGTAGTGCTAAAGGTCTTCAATATTATCTTTGGGAAACGTTTTCTTCAAATTTGTGTCTCAAAAAGCTGAGTTACTATTGATTTTTTTATTATTATCTCTTTTATTTACAACTGTCCAGTTAAGGACATTTAATAAATTTGATGAATTTACAATAGTCGGTCGAAAAGGGACATTGTATACTAAAAGGACATGTTGGAAACACAACTCAGTAGACTATTGAATTTGAATGATGTTTTAGAACTCAACGTCAAGCCGAAACGGGGTGATTGTATTAGCCTTAACTGTCGTTAAAAAAGCTAGAAAAAGGGTTTTACATTGTTTGGAAATTATGGGAACTTAAGTTCGATATAGAGCTTTTGTAAAATTTTACAATTATACAATTTTTCGATCATTGTGGTTAATTTTTTATTAATTTAGTTCCTTTAAACTTTCGAACCGTAACTTTGATTAGAATCACAGTCGAAAACAATAACACAATTGCCACAAATTTTTAAGAACTAAGACTTTTTGTAGAACTATCAATTTAAAATTCATAAAATCGGTCGACTTTGATAGTCCCTTCTTAAAAAAATGTACTAAAATGTGTTGGCAAAAGTTAGCGCGTTTAATCAGGATTATAAAATGGTAAAATACTTGATAATTTTATTATTGAAAAATTTTGAGTAAAAAATAAAAACATAAGAATGACATAACTTTTGCTATTACATTTTACTCTCAATTATGTCAAATGTTTAATAGGTTAATATTTTGTTGTTAAAATTTTCGATTATAAAAGCATCAAGCTCATAATTTTCAAACAACGTTTGATTTTTTTCATTTTTTTCAGCACATTTATGTTCTAGAACTCCCTGTATGTATGCTAACTTGCTGACTGCAACAAATTTCAATATTTCTCGAAATCTATTTTTCGAAAAAGGATTAAATTCATTAAATAATAATCTTTCTTCGGTTTCAAATACTTCTTTATTAACCATGAAATAAAGCTATTTACTAGCAAGATTTGATATAATTTTAACGCACTCCGAATGACCGTCAAAAATTTAATTTTTGAAAAATTATTTTATTAAAATATGTTTAATTATGGATAGTACTAATAAAACTTGACTTCATATAATGTATTATTTTTCTTTTAAAATTATTGTTATTAACACAGATGATGAGACAAATCATGATCTTCAATCGTTTACTTCATTATACAACTAATATATATTACCACAACAGAGTAAGTTTTACTATAATGAAGTATGTGATGTATGAAGGTTTGGATCTTCTATAATTATTTTCCTAATAACCAATAATATAAGACAAACTATGATTGGGCAATTTTGGATAAAATTTCAATTATGTGTGTCAAATATGGAGTCGAAAAATGTCGCTTCAAAGATCCTTTTCAACACCAAAAAATGCGTCGCTCGTCTTCGACGCAAAAATTTCAAATCATGAAATACTTTCGAATGCAATCCATGAACATTAATTTCAATAGATCCTTTATATTCGCATTCTACGTAGAGGTACATCCGCTGCACGTCTACAAAAACGGTCAAATAAACTATATTTATTAGATATTACAGTAGCACATTCACTGCGAATTTCATCTTTTTGCTGATTCTGACAAATCGAATTCCGAGATTCACATATTTGCACATCTATTCTACGGATAGAGGTACCTACTATATGTACAAGAATCATAAAAATATAGATGTGCATTTTCAGCATAACAGTATGCAGATAACAACATCGAGTATATATACATATATATATATATTTATATATATATATATATATATATAAGGTATAACGGGGCTTCAAGGTCTGAGGGTAAGAAGGTCCACCACCGATATCTCTAAAACAAGTTATGTTAAGAATTTTTTAACAACAATATTTATAAGTAGAGGGAAAAAATATATCTCCAGCAATTTGGAAGTAAAAACAGAAATCATTGAAAATGCTTGACAGAAATATTTTAGGGGGCGTTCATTGATCACGTAAGCCTTAAAGGGAGAGAGGGGATTTGACAAAAAATCACGAAATATAACTTAAGGCAGGAGGAGTCGCATAAGATACATCCTGTATTTATTTTTTACCTAAATTTGGAAAAAAAATCTTAACTTTCTCAAAAATAATTTTAAAAAATTACGAATTCTTCTAGATACTAAAAATACCGCTATGTGGTGTTTGAGAGGGGGGTTAATTTTAAATATTACTACGTATCGGCAAGGGGAAAGGGAGGCCCAAAATTACTTGATAATCGCTCACGTGATTACTGAACGGCCCCTTATTTCATCGTTAGTTTCATTTGACAGTGAGCACTGTTGTTTAATTTACGAGACCCTGATATAATTTTTAACTTCCCGTAGGGTAAGTTATAGTAATGGGCTGAAAATCGAAAATGGAAATTTTTTGTATAAGTTTCTGAACATTTTGGGCCACCTCAAGAAAATAGATGTGTGTGTGTGTGTGTTTTGTGTGTCCGCATTTTTTCGTCTACGTTTTCGGGCGCGCAGATGAACCGATTTGAATGGTTAAGAAAACATTCGATTCCTATCGATAGAGAGATGTGCTAATTAGATTTTGGCAAAGGCAGGTCCAGCCGTTACTGAGATACGGAGCAAAGAGTGCAGAAAATAGAAATCGAGTTTTTAAGAGAACGGAATATCCGATCTGAAAGATCCAAAAAATATTCAATTTGTACTGATTCGGAGAACTGATGATTAGTATTATGAGAAAGCAGATCTAGCCATTCCGAAGATATAGAGCTAAACGAACAAAAAAATGAAAGTTCTAAAGCTCACTTATATACTTCAAATTCAAATAAATAATTGTATCTTTGCAATTATATAATTTTTGTGAATATTGGGCAATATTACAGTATTTATAATAATCTAATTTATTTTAAAACATTTATTATGCCTCGGGAAGTTCTAGCAATTTGCCCTAATATGCCATAAGTATATGTTATTGAATTGTTTTATGAGATGAATTGTCAGTTTTAAGTTAGATTCAACAAGTCTCTATAAAAAAATTATATAATCTCTCTTGCGCCACCCACTTATACGTGGGTGGGACAAAAAGGACCAACTGTATCTTCACCTTGGCAAAGTTGAAAATTGAGTTAAAGAAGCTATTTTACAAGAGATGAATTAAATAAATAGTTATACTACTAATTCAACTGATGAATATTTCTAAAAAAAGGTTAGCTGGCAAATTTTTGAAAAACAGTAAAAAAACACATTTCTACAATGATTTCTACAATGAAGCTGGGAGTTTTATTGAACCTAGTCAGTTGTTTGTTTGATAAATGTTGGGTGTAATAATATTGGTTTGGTTTTTACAATTGCTTAAATTCAGATTGGTCCTTTGTGTCCCCATATTTTCGCAAAAATTGCAATTTACTAGAAAAAGATCACTGTTTTATAGGCATATGACAAATTTAGTCGTCAATACACAAAATTTTGCCACTTCGTCATGACGGGTATATTTGTCAATGACAGTTTTTAGCTTTCCGTAGGGCAAGTTATAGTAGTCGCAAAAAGCTCGAAAATGAACACTTTTATAACCATTCAAAGCCTTCTGAATATTTTGGCATATCCGAAAAAATGGATGGATGTGTGTCTGCATGTGTGATTAAAAAAACCTATTGCTCCCCTTCATTACGAATTGAATGTTCTTTTAATCATGCAAATCGGGTGCTATGTGCTTTCAAAAACTCGATTTTTATTTTGCTCCATATCTCCAAAATGGCTGGACCTGCCTTTGCCAAAGACTAATCAGCACGTTCTATATTGGTAGGAATCAAATGTTTTTTGAATTATTCATATCGGTTGATTTGAGCGCCCGAAATTGTTGACAAAAAAATGTATACTATTTATACACATACATCTATTTTTTCTAAATTATATCAAAATATTCAGAAAACTTTGAAACATAAAATAAATGCAAATGTTTTCAACTTTGATTTTTATAGCAATTATTATAACTCATCAAACGAGAAGCCAATAAAAGTAAAAGAAAGCCAATAGGCATTTGTTTATCAGTTATAATTTTGTTTACGTTTTTTTTTTCAATACCTCATACAGAAAAACTTTTAACGTTTCTTTGATCATATTTTCACATTTATTTTTCATAAGCAATGATTCCATATAATTCATAATACCCAATATTATTAAAATTTCTAAACCGATATGAATCTGTAAAACCTGAACAAGGGCATTTGCTTTTCACGGGACGTGATCCTATCGGCGCGGCGTCTAATGGAATTCCGCGCCGTAATGCGATTTGTATGATTCCCTTTTGCGGGCCCCTGCGTGTACATAGCGAAGGCGTTATTTTATTTCGTCAATGGATCCTCTTGTTAAGAAGTATTTCTTTACACAGTGGTGATTACATATAATTTTTCGATCACGTACTCGCTAGTGTAAATTTTTACCCGAGCCGACTGATTGCAAATCTAATCAATTTTGTTATAGAAGTATGGAGTGCGAGACTAGACTGCAATACACTATTTTATATTAAGATAAATGGATTTAATTATTTAACTGGTTGATTGTGGTAT